GATGACTTGGCTGCGGGGCCAGCCGACGACTTGGCTGCGGAGCCAGTCGACAGACTTGGCTGCGGACCAGCCGAACGACTTGGCTTGGGGTAAGCAGCCGTATTACTTAGCTGGGGGGGGTCAGCCGACGACTTGACTGGGGGACTCAGCGACGACTTGGCTGGGGGTCAGCCGACATACTTGGCAGGGGGGCCAGCCGACGACTTGATGACTGCGAGGCCAGCTTGATGACTTGGGCTTGGGGGTCCAGCGTGGCATGCTGTGGCTGTAGTCCCCTGTGTCCATGGCAGGGGGCACAGTGCAGGGAGTGGGGGTCCAACTGTTGCCATGGCTGGTGTCCAGCCGGTGCTAAATGGCTGGAGAGCTGGTTGGAAGGTAAAGATTTTGGCTTAACATATGACAGCCGGGACATCAATGGAGGTCTCTGTTACATTGCTGTACTACAGCCCACAAACTCACATTTGTCTGTAAAACTAATCTTCTTTTTATGCTTCAGTTACTGATAGATGAAACCCCCAATTATATACCTTGCCAAAATAAGGCTAATTTTTCAGTACATTACTTAGTGACAACCATAGCACGTCAAAATCCACAAGGCTCTTTATCTCCCACTTTCTCTGATCTAAACGCACGACAATCTTTGTTGAATGCTCAAGCGCCCCGCCCCACTCTATAAACCACCACTGCACCCTTCTCCAGCCTTTCCCAGGATGTTCTCCCTAAACTTCCTTATTTATAAATTTTTTTTTTTTTTTAAGAAGTCAACCATCTCCCACTGAGGCAAAGTGACCCAAAAAGAAATACCCAAAAAGAAAGAAAAAACTTTCATCCTCATTCAACACATGCACCATCATTCACACAATCACTGCCTTTGCAGAGGCACTCAGATACAACATTTAGATGTCACTCCAGACTAATACACAACTCATGAAATCGTAGTGACAACGATTGCAAACAAACAATACCACAGGTTCAAGCCCCACCCGTGGTTATGGTTAGAATAACACGTTAAAGTATTTTTGACCGTAGTGATACGTTAAGCAAAACCTTTATTATCCACAGTGCTGCTTACATTTATATCACAAATAACCAAAGAGGAAAATATATTTTGCTCTGTTCTGGACCACTGTAAAGTCCCAAGTAAGAAAAAAGAGAAGGCATGAAGAGAGGTAGGGGAAAAAAAAGGCAGCAGAGGATGCAGGAGCAGTAGTAAAGGTAAATTACATCTCGGGGGATGGAGGAGGTGGAAGTAACTCCCCCTCTGACACATGTCCAAGGGGTAAAAAAAAAAAAAAAAAAAAAAAAATTATGGCAAAAGATTGAGGACAGCCCCATAGAAAAAGTGAGACCTTTTACTAACTGTATTCTACTACTACTACTACTACTAATCACTACCATTTTTACCACTACAGGTATCATCCGACTTACGACCGAGTTCGGTTCCGACAAACTGGTTGCAAGTCGGAATGGACGCAAGTCGAAAACCCTTTCTACTGAACATCAACATCACATTTTTGTAATGACTATTTTATTGTTTTATTTTGGTATTTCATTTTTACTTTACTTTTTTCTGCTGTTAGTACTGTATTTTATACTGTAAGGTTTAGGATAAACGCTGTGTACAACACAAACAGTTATTTCTCAGAAATTTGGCATAGAAAACACGGTGTAAGTCGAATGGTCGTATGTCGGATGGTAGGTGTATTACTTTCCCTACTGTACTTTTTTTTCCCTCCTACTTTCAAACCTGTTCTCTGGTGTACTCTATAATTTTTTTTTCACCCTAGCTGTGACTCAATGGTCCATGACAGACAATTGTTGTCTAAGGTTCTCAAATGTGGGTTGTTTGTAAATTATTCCACACAGTACAGTAGACAGTCATTAACACAAGTTTATTTGGCACAATTTGATTATAGCACGATCGAAAAATTGCGGCACAAATTTATGCAACACTTCGTAAAATTAACTATACACGGTTTCCGTTTTGGGCACAGAAAAAATTTCCCCAGCTCAAGCTGCCACCTTGTTGTGGGTCAGCGGGGTAAACCTCCCGCCATCCCCTGCCACCCCCAACACTCCTACCACCACCATCCCAGCCTTCGTGAATGCGTGTCCAGTTCCATTCTCTCCTACAAGCTATCGCTAGCTGTGTTTGTGAATTGTGTTATGATCTTTAATTACCATATCTTGTATTTGCCAAGCAATCATGGCACCCAGTAAGCATACCAGTGTTGCTGAAAGAGGCAAGGTATAAGCATTTAAGTCTTAGAATTAACAAAGAAAATAGATATATTAGAAAAGAGAGAGCCTGTGGCCATAATGAAGCTTCACTTTTGCACACAAGAATGAGGTAAATATGAGTTTGTGTGATGACTGACTGACTTACTGACTTGACTGATTAACTGACTGACTTAAAGTTAGATTTTTTCACTGAAGAGGACCCTGAAACAGTGTCTAGAGCAGCTGATGCCTTACTGTCAGTTGTATAATGTACTGTGGGGTAAAATAGAACAGAAATCTATTACAGAATTTATGCACACTCGAGTACAACCATTGACTTTAGTACCAGAACCTCTACCATCCACCTCAACCCAGTAGGACCATAGCATAACTCTCCACAGTCATCCACAAACACCAGCACCCACAATTTAAGGTAAGAAATACTATTATTTCTGTTGCATTTGTAATCTTAAGCAGTGAAAACAACATAATACATCACGACAATGAACTACAATTACATATTCACTTATATTTTTGTAAGATCTGTTGGTCTAAAAATAAGTTTGTTTTTTGGGGGGCTCACAGGAATGTAACCCTATTTTTCCCACAAGTTCTTCAGTTCATCTAACACAGTTTTACCTAACATGGTGTTTTCAGAAACGTAACTAAGTTAAATGACGGTCTACTGTACGTATATCAAAAAGAATGTGAATGAAAATGTTAAGTATATAATGGCAAATTGCTTATAATTTGGACACACTGAAGGAATCCCCAAAAATAAGTTTAAATTCAGAATAAAAGATGTTAAAGAGTGAATCACTGATGTCACAAATTGAAGGCATTTAAAAATTATGTTGTGTTCTGAAGCCATATTTAATAGTCTTTAAAATTGCTTCCACTTAGTTTTCAATACAAGAGGGTCCTACATATATAACATCTTTTCAGTATTCCATATTTTTGTTGGCTTCAAACTGAGTCACTGTTCATTGTTTCACCCACTGGCGATTTTTGCCGAAGGTGGAACAATGGATCAGTTTGAAAGCCAACGAAAACAAGGAATACTGAAAAGAGGTGTGAGGAGGGCCCCATCCATACAGTCTCTAAATATAGCACCAGTTGTCCTTCCCTTATGCAACTGTTGTATAAAAAATGGTGATAATGTGGCACAGCATTAAAATCACTGAACATAATGAACAATGGCTCAACTGAAAGCCAACCAAAAACATGGAAAACCAAAAATAGGTGTTGTATACACAGGGCCCACCTCTAATTATAATACACAATGAATGTCAACCCTCATTTAACAGACAAATACACATATCTCCACCCTACCTGAGTCATCTTGCAAAGCATAGATTTGCCTGAAGACTCCCAACATTTGCTCCATTTTTGCATTGACAAAATAAACTAATAAATCCGGGATGACTTTTTCCCAGGCTTCCGGGGCCAATGTGATTCTTTGCAATTATTTTCACTGTTTAAAAATTTGCAACATTTTTCTTTAACTCTAAATACACATTCAATATTTTTATTGGTTCAGTATATCCAGACAAATTACTGATTATCATTGACAACCACTGGTTCTTAAAATGGTCACTACAGTCCTCCCAATCTTTTCGTTTGCCTGTAAAAACCCATGCAAATCAGAATCAGCCACTAGATTGCATGTGCAGAGTTATGGAGATACAAAGTAATATCATCCCTATGTACACTGATGACGGAGGAGACAGGAGCCAAGAATATTGCAGAGTTATCTCCTAAATGCTCTGTTGCAGCACAGACAAACTCCAGAGCATGACTAATTGCTTCTTCAGCAATACTATTTGTGGCAGTGCTCTTATCACCAGAAACTGAAACACATTCAAGACTGAGCTTCTTAAGGATTCTGACACTTGGCCATAACACACTGATAAAGGCTTCGAAGATGTAGCCATCTGACCACCCTGTAATAATAAACCAAAGGGTCTCAGATGGCCAATTTTTTTGGGTATCTAAAAATAGTATCCAAGCCACATTATCGAGGCTTATTGCATTCCTTGATAAAATGTATTTGTAAATGTCTACTTAATTCCATCACCTTGGAGGAAAGACACTGGCCCCCAAGGGAAACTACAACTTGCTGGAAAAGAGAAAAATACTTCCAACTTGGATTTATTTGTTTGTCTGGCAATGATGCGCTGTTTGACTCAAGTACAAGAGCCGGGTTTGGGGCATGTCAGATTCCACTGGTTTCTCTCAATGATGCACTGCTGACTCTGAAACAGGTACAAGAACTGGCGGGGCATGGCAGATTTCACCACTTGCCCTGGCAATGATGCTCTGTCTGACTGAGGAAAAAGGCCCAAGAAACTGGCTGGCAGGGGAAAATAAACAGAGCCAATTTTATCAACCTCCTTCATCAAATTAGCCATGGATAAAAGATATATCCATAATTCTTATCTGTGTTCATTGTCCCACAAAATTTTTAGACTGGTTCATATTCATGTATTTTTTCATCACAGAGGAAAACCTATTATCCTTTGGGCTCAATTATTGAAGTGAACCAAGAACGACAAAAATTATTGTAGAGAATATTAGTAAATGTACGTGTCTTGAGTAGGCAGAGAAAGCGTAATTTTTGGAAACTATACGATGCAGTATGTCATGATCTGGAAAGGCCATTTCACTGACGACTCCGGCGGGTATTACGGAACCAACATAGCCATACCCTTCACCCAACTCCTTCTGTACACAGTCCCTCAAAGCCTTTTACGTGTAGAAATTACATCATCATGTGCTCATTCATGTCTTCAACTGAGGTTTGATCAATTTCATATGCAATTTTTTGTGATGGGTTGCAAACATTTGTAAAAGTCACAATTACTGCACTTGTAGAACTCAACAAGACTATAGATGCCCAAGGGTAAGAGCCACAATGCATTTCTAGTTCTGGCATTACAATAATATTGCACAACTTCAGGGACATTCTTGAAGCTCAGGTTTTCCTCCAATATTACAGTTACCTGAAAAAATTAAAAATATTTACATGTACATAAAAAATAATTTTATCATTTACGTATTTTTAATTATTAATTATTTATTAAACAATATTATATATTATTATTATTATTAATTATTATTATTATATAACTAAGTCATGAAGAAATGTTAAATTCATACAGGAAGGAAGGGAAGGAAGGTAATCATATTTAATTTAAGGGAAGGGAGGGTAGCCTTAATTACTTGCATCACTAGTCCTTTTACCACCTTCACGCACTCCTTTTTTTCCCCATCCACGGAAGGGTTAAAATTTAAAAATGATCCAATTAAGCCCCGAATGTAGGCAAATTCCGAGGAGATATTGTTCATCCAGGCTGGTAGCATTTGTGACATTTATGGAACACTGACTATGTAGGTCACTCAGAAACTCATACCCATAAAAAAATATACGTATATCATGTGCAAGAAGATAAGGATAAAGCAAGTAGTAAGCAAAGCAATGAACAAACAAAAACCTCTTTTTAGTAAACAATAAAGCAAAAACACATACCAACTTTCAATCAGCAGCAATTATCCATGCGGGGGAAGGAAGGGATAGGGGGAAACTAAAAATCATGAAGTAGCCAACATTGATTGCATAATGTTGCAACATTTTTAAAAAACTGGTGAGAACTTTAACCCTTCAACAGCCATCACATAACACTACCCACTGAGGTCAGAGTCCCTAAAGTTGTCTATGCGTAAGCTCAGCTCAGATAAGCTGTGAGTGGTAAATTTTTGGCCTAGAGATGAAAGGATGGATGTGTGTAGTGATTGTGGACAGTATATTATTATAATCAAAAAGAAGCGCTAAGCCACAAGGACTATACAGCTGTGGACAGTATAAAAAAAAAAAAAAAATTCTGCCACCACGGTACATGATGAAAAAATAAAACTCTGATCGTGTGTATAATAGTTTAAAATAGCGAATAGAGGTGCGCTTTTGGATGGTTTTTGTGGTTTTATTGGCTGTTCTTGATGTCATTTGATGGACTGGAAAAAGATACTATTTTATATATATTTTTTATTAAAACATTGGCCGTAACCCACTTTTTACCACCTTTTTGTTCATTTTAAGTAACTATTTCTACTTGTTATTATCACAATGGTATTCTTTTACATGTTATTTTTGCTATTTCACTAATATTATATTCAGGAGTATTCCATTAGTAGCTAAAATGGATTTACTAGACTTCATAATATTATCTGGTCGTATTACTTAGCTTTGTACATGGGTGGGTTGTTTGATTAGTGTCAACTGCGGGTTTGCGACCTGGCCAAGCACCAGTAGGTGATTTGAGCTGCTAAAACCCCTGCTCCGACTCAGTCGAAGTGGGCTGGTAAAGCCTCTCTGAGTTAAGTTCATACCTTCCTCTGGACCAGAAAGGGTCTAGGGAAGTATCCCCCTCTAAAACCACTATTCGCCTCCCTAGAAAATCCCGGGAATTTTAAAGGAAAACTCATTGCTAAGCCCTTATCTGGGTTTGGGAGAAGCGGTTAAGAAGCTCTTAGAGAAAGTGAAGCTAAGTGAGCAAGCCTCTGTAGTGTAAGAGGGCTTATTGTAAAGTGAATCCTATTACGTGGATCCCCGCATAACGATGGCATCACATAGCGATTTCGCATACCGCTTATTTTAAAACGCAAAATTTTGCCTCACATACCGCTTAAAAACCCGCTTAACTTTTTTCCCGTCCGAAAACGCGGCCTGAGCCACGCTCACATGTTCCGCCGTGGCATTGTTTACCAGCCAGCCCCCCGCGGTAACATCCAAGCATACAATCGGAATATTTCGTATTTTACAGTGTTTTCGGTGCTTTTTCTGGAAATAAGTGACCATGGGCCCCAAGAAAGCTTCTAGTGCCAACCCTACAGCAATAAGGGTGAAAAATTACAATAGAGATGAAAAAAAGATCATTGATAAGTATGAAAGTGGAGTGCAGTCTCCGAGCTGGCCGGGTTGTATAATAAACCCCAATCAACCACGCTACTATTGGTGGTACAGCTGCTGCTGCTGCTGCCTGCAGCTGCTGCTGTTTGCTGTAGCACCGTTTTTGGGTGTGGCTTATTGAGAATACCAAGAAACAATTAACCCCAGAGGATTTGCCACCCAGGATCCCCCAAAAAAAAGTCATGTCATCGAAGACTGTCTAACTTATTTCCTTTGGGGGTCCTTAATCTTGTCCCCCCGGGATGCAACCCACACAAGTCGACAAAACACCCAGGTGAACAGGGAAAAATGCCTGAACTAGTGTCTATGTTAATTTAAAGCCAGCAAGGTTGGTTTGAGAAAATTTTAAGAATCGTAGTGGCATACACGTGTGATAAGGCCTGTTCGGAAGAAAATGCCAAACAGACCTCCCGTACTCAGGAGAAAAGGCCACTCCAGACACAGTGTCCATCATCATGCGCACTTCAATAAAGGTAAGTGTCATTTATTCTTCATTAGTAACTAGACATGCACAATAATACTGTGCATTAACCCTCTACTATTGTGCAATATCCTTCTCTTTGTGTGGGAAAATGTAATTCATTGGTAAAATTTTTTGTTCATAATTTGTTCTTGAAACGGATTAATTTGAATTCCATTATTTCTATGGGGAAAATTCATTCACATAGCGATTATTTCGCATAACAATTCCCCCTGCCACGGATTAAAATCGTTAACCCGGGGGGGTCCACGTATAAGAAATCTATTAATGTGTTCGAGTTTTTAGGCACGCCTTGCATACATAACAAAATTTTATTTCGTGACTCACTCAGAGCCATTTTAAATACTTGACTATACTGTGATGTTTATTGAAAAATGGAAAAGTATTCTACTCATAGGGCAAATATGAGAAGGGATTAAGTGATTATTAGTTTAAAATAAATTAAATAGAAACAAAGAAATTCCTTTCCCTCTCCGAGTGAAACCTCTAGACGTACTAATTTATTTTCTAAAAAAAGCACTATAACCCAGGGACCAACAGACTATGTTCGTAAAAAACCCCCCGAGGCAGGGTGGCCCGAAAAAGAAAAACTCTCATCGTCATTCACTCCGTCACTGTCTTGCCAGAGGCATGCTGACACAAACAGTTTGTGACCTCGCTTGCATCCCGATCTGTTTGTATGTTGAGTCAATTTTCCTCATTTAAATTAACTGAAATGCCATTAATCCATCCAGTGGAATTCCTGCTCTCAGGAGGCAGGAATATGATGCTAATATCAACTCTACGGCTTATCTATCTATCACAATTAATTAATATGACAAAATAAACAATATAGAAACCTGATATATACTCTGGAATGAATAAAATATGTCATTATTTTAAAAGTGGTGGCAGCCATTCCCTATTTCAAGTGGCCGCCTTCTTGTGGTCAGCGGGAAGACCTCCCTCCTGCCATCCCCCAAACTCCCAGCACCCCAATCCCAACTTACTTGTTCAGTTCCACTTCCCCTCCTACAAGCTAACTGTGTTTGTGAATTGTATTTTGACCTCGCGACTGACCTCGCTACCCGACCTCGCTGACTCGACTGACTTACTGAATGACTCAACTGACTGACTGAATGACTCGACTGACTGACTGGGCTGAATGACTCGAGTGACTGAATGACAAATGAGACTTTTTCACTGAAGGGGGGACCCAAACAGTGTCTAGAGCAGCTGATGCCTTACCATCAGTTGTATAATGTACTGCAGGGTAAATAGAACAGAAATCCACTACAGAATTTATGCACACCCCGGTACAACCATCAACTTCAGTAACAATCCTCCACCATCCACCTCAGCCCAGTAGGCCACAGCATAACTCTCCCAAAATCTCTCACAATCATCGACAAAAACCAGCACCCACAATTTAAGGTAAGAAATACTATTATTTCTGTTGCAGTTATGTCTTTAAACAGTAAAAACAACAATACATCAAAGACAATGAACTACAATTATATATTCACTTTTACTTTTGTAAGATCTGGAGGTCCCCAAAAAAAAGTTGTTTGAGGGGAAGCTTGCACCCTGAATTTTTCTCATATCCAGAAACAAAAAAGCGACTGAGCTACTGCTCGTATCTTGAAAAACTCGTGTTGTGGGCACTCTTAAGCCGAGGTTCCAATGTACTTCCCATCTCCAGGAATCAAGGGCTGGCCTGCCAGTTTCCCTGAATCCCTTCGTAAATGTTACCTTGCTTACATTCCAACAGCACGTCAAGTCCTAAAAAACCATTTGTCTCCATTGCTCCTATCTAACATGCACATTTCAGCTTGCTGGGAAATCCAAGCCCCTCGCACACAAAACCTCCTTTTCCCCCGTCCCTCCAACCTTTCCTAGGTTTGACCCCTACCCCACTTTCCCTCCACTACAGATTTATACACTCTCCCAAGTCATTCTATTTTATTCCATCCTCTCCACATGCCCAAACCATCTCAATAACCCCTCCTCACCCTCGGATAATAGTTTTGGTAAAGACATACCAAAGAAATGGAAATAATTTTGATTGATTTTAGGACGAAGTAGCTTAACAGGTCTTGACTCATTTATTGGAAACTGTAAAAACCCTAACCAATTTATTCCTGGTTTTATTTTATTATCCGAGAAATATAGTAAATTTATTTTTTTTTGCGAATAAAGTTCAAAATGGAAGGCAAGTGCAATATAGGATAGGCCTTGGGATGTAATTAATGAACAGAGGTAAAGTTTTGGTGCCAGGAATGTATACACTGCTTATTTTGAATTTTTTTAAATTGCTATTTTTTTAATTTGGTGTAAAATTGGTCAAATGTACCTCACTTCACTGAGTGAAAGCAAAACAAGCTTAAAGACTCCTTAGCAAGCTGTACTGGATACCAGTAATATGAGGACATGTAACAGGCAAAATGATAGGCAAAATTTTTATACGTTTCTGGTTGTTATGCAAGATAAATCTTCACAGTGTAAGGAAAAAAGAAAAGTGTTAAGTTTGTACAAATTCCTAAAAAATTGGTATTATACCATGTATAATAAATAGATGCCGTTTACCAAGCATGATCCAATGCAACATGCTGCAATAATAAATACAGCACCTATAATTCACATACTCACATCAGTGGAGGAAAGCTTGTCTAGCTGTTTCTTGTATAACGTATTGCCCAAGATGACAATGTTGCTGAAATTTAGCTCATCACAAGATCTGCAAACAGTAGTCAAAATAACATTTTAATTAACATTTCAATTTAAGTATGTAAATATCTTAACCAGTAATGTACAAATGTAGTCAATGGTGTTTTTTATTGAACATTAATGTGTCAATATCGGGTAAATGATGTTCATCATGGACATAACAATATGGATATAACATGCCCTATTAACAACACGTATTCTGTAATAATAATAATAATAATAATAATAATAATAATAATAATAATGATAAAAAAGATAAAAATGATAAAAAAGAGATGATTGTGGATGTTATGAATGAGAAGAAACGGATGTCCTGGCTTTAAGTGAAACAAAGCTGAAGGGGGTGGGAGAGTTTCAGTGGAGTGGAATAAATGGGATTAGGTCAGGGGTTTCAAATAGTTAGAGCTAAAGGGGAGTAGCATAATGTTGAAGGATAAGCTATGCAGGAAAAGAGGGACTACAAATGTATAAATTCTAGGAAATTTTGTGGAGTAAAATAAAGATTGGATGTGAAAAGTGGGGTTTTAGTAAGCGTGTATGCACCTGGAGAAGAGAGAAGTGTAGAGGAGAGAGAGAGATTTTGGGAAATGTTGAGTGAATGCGTGGGGAGTTTTGAATGAAGTGTGAGAGTAATGGTGGTTGGGGATTTCAATGCTAAAGTGGGTAAAAATGTTATGGAGGGAGTACAGCAGGGCCCCGCTTTACGGCGTTTCACTTTACGGCGTTCCGCTAATACGGTCATTTCAAATTATGACCAAAACTCGCTATATGGCTCCCCCCCCACCTGACTTTCTAATACGGTCACCCGCGCCCCACCTTGTTTGTTTACATTCTTCGTGAGCTCAGTAAGCACTAAGTCTCTCCATTTTGTCCTGAAACTCCAAAATTTCAAATGTTTTTAAAAGTTATTTCATATTTTATATATACCTGATAATTATACTTATGTATAAATGTACTTAAATAAACTTACCTACTGTGCCTGGCGTGCAGGTACACATTAAAATCAGTAAGAGTTCTTGTGGGCTCCAGACGTCATATTAGTAATGATAATAATAATCGAGTCCAATAAATGTCGTATATTACGTTAAATACACATTTTCATTAATCCATCTATGAAATTTTTCAAAAATTTTATAATAAACCCCGATACATAACATAAAAAAGATAAAATACACCCCACAATAGAATAAATAAACATAAATATGAGATGTGGTAGCAGACGACTTGCACAAGTGACGCCATATTAGAAATGATAATAATAATAATAATAATAAATCACCAAGTCTCATTACATGTGTAATTACGTTAATATACACATTTTCATTAATCCATCCATGATATTTTTTTCAAAATTATATAATAAACACGATACATAACATAAAAAGATGATAAATACACCCTACAATAGAATAAATAAACAAATATGAGATGTGATAGCCAGATAACTTGTACAAGTGACGCCAAGAATAACATTTTCTCTAATCTAACATAAGAGAAAATGTGTTACTGGGGGTAACTGTAGAAAATTATTCCTTTCGTATGTAAGTTTATTCAGGTATACACAAATACAGTTACATAGATTATCATACATGACAACATATGTATAGAGAACCTAGATAACCCAAAAAAGTCAGAGTGACTTATTTCCATTGCCTCACTCAGAGCATCATTTCTTCTCAAAATGATGTTACATGAGAATGGGAGTGTTCTTCTTTATTTATTCTACCGTATCAATGTAGAGACAACCTGTACACAATGTAACTTGTACACAAACCACGTGTACACTTCGTTACAAAACTTACTTCGCCTGGTTTGTTTACATAACTCTGCGCCTGTCCTCTCTCATGCACTCATTCTTTCTCTCTCTCATTTATTCGTTTTATCTCATTTACTTACTCCTGACCCTACATTAAACTACAAATATTTTAACCCTTTCCGGGTCCAAGGCCAAAATCTGAAGTCACCACCAGTGTCCAAGAATTTCCAAAAAAAATTTGTTATTTTTTCTTATGAAATGGGAGAGAATCTTTTTGTGATGAAGGAATAAACAAAAAGTACGAAATTTGATGGAAAATTGACGAAATTATGCTCTCGCGAATTTTTGATGTGTCAGCGATGTTTACGAATCAGCGATTTTGCCGACTTTGACTTCCATTTTAGGCCAATTACATCATTCCAGTCGACCAAAATTTTTAGCTATTTTTTCTAGTATTACTTCTATTCTATTGATTTAGCACAAGAAATTGGGCCAAGTCAACTAATTCAACTACAAAAAAAATGATCGGGAAATTGGTAATTTGGCCAATTTAACACAAAGTCAAAATATTCCAATTTCAAAATAGCATCCAGAATAAACAATGTAGGCATTCCTGGCACTAAAACTAACATTTCCTCGGTTTTATTAGTTACGTTTTGAGGCTTTACAAATAAATCCCATTTTTATTTTTTATTTACATAATGAATTTTTATTCACACCAAAAAAAGAAGATTTACTGTTATGCAAATATTGTAATAATTGTATAAATATCATCACCACATTTATGAATGTGATTAGATCCACCAGCTGGCATGTATTAGACTGTGAGGTCGTTTTGTTTACTCTTGAACATCGACAAAATTTAAAAATTTCCGCTACTTTGAGCTCAGTTTCAAGCCATTTCGGTGCTAAAACCAATCAAAATCATCTCTATTTCTGTAATATGTCTTCCATTCTATCCCAAAAGAGACCAAGAAATTGCAAATACAACTATAAAAAACATACGAAAAAACACTGCAAAGTTGCTGTTTTAATCGAAAATCTTGGTTTCAGTTTTTTTTCTCTCATTATACACAGTGTGCTGCAGGATTTGTTTTATGTGGTGCATACATACCATATAGATGTATTCTCTCATATCTAGGCCCAAGTGTACCACTCACAGTTTATCCGAGTGAGCTGTGCTCATGACGTAGATCTACGGTTTGGACACTGAACGCAAAGCCCTAGATCTACTGGACGGACCCTGAAAGGGTTTTAAGGGAAGTAATGATTTATATTATTATTATTATCACACCGGCCGATTCCCACCAAGGCAGGGAGGCCCGAAAAAGAAAAACTTTCACCATCATTCACTCCATCACTGTCTTGCCAGTGAATGATGGTGAAAGTTTTTCTTTTTCGGGCCACCCTGCCTTGGTGGGAATCGGCCGGTGTGATAATAATAATAATAATATAAATCATTACTTACCTTAACCCTTTCAGGGTCCGTCCAGTAGATCTACGGCTTTGCGTTCAGTGTCCAAACCGTAGATCTACGTCATGAGCACAGCTCACTCGGATAAACTGTGAGTGGTACACTTGGGCCTAGATATGAGAGAATACATCTATATGGTATGTATGCACCACATAAAACAAATCCTGCAGCACACTGTGTATAATGAGAGAAAAAAAACTGAAACCAAGATTTTCGATTAAAACAGCAACTTTGCAGTGTTTTTTCGTATGTTTTTTATAGTTGTATTTGCAATTTCTTGGTCTCATTTGATAGAATGGAAGACATATTACAGAAATAGAGATGATTTTGATTGGTTTTAGCACCGGAAATGGCTTGAAACTGAGCTCAAAGTAGCGGAAATGTTAAATTTTTGTCGATGTTCTTTAGGTTAAGTAATGAAGTGAACTGTAATATACATTTTATCGCTCTGGGATGCTTAAATGTAAAAAGAATATTATGTGTAGGTGGGTTGGCCGGGTATGGTACCCCGGCTGACCCCCATACAAAACCACACTTGATTTCTTACAATAAAACTATTTTTCGCATCCTAATTAAACTATAAATATTTTAAGGTAAAATGATGCACATTGTGTATTGTACTTTTTTATTGTTTTTTGATGCCTGTTCTATTGCTAACTTAATATATGTTAGTGAAACTTTTTATCTAGTGTTTGATGCATTTGTAAGGGGAAAAAAAGGGTGTTTCCATTTAGGGCGGTCCGGAACCTAACCAGCCGTAAATGGGGCCCTTCCAAGGGGAAAAATTTTGGGGGTGCCGGGGGTAAATGTAAATGGGGAGCCTTTAATTAATTAGCTATTGTAAAAGAAATTGGTAACAAGTAAATACAAAATTTTTTGGGCTAGTGCAAAAAGGGGGGGGTTAAAGGGGTTTGGAATAGTTTTAAAAAAGCAGTTTAAATGGGGGGAGAATTTGTGGTTCAGGGGGTGGGGGGGAGGGGGAAAAGGGGTGATTGTGGGAAAGAGAAGTAAAGGGTGTGAAAAAGAGAAAAAGGAGCTTACGAGAGGTTTTTACAAAGCAGAAGTGTTTTAAGAAGAGCAAGAAATGGAATAAAAGAAATGAAGAGAGTGGGAGAGAGTGCAAAAAGGGGACAATTTATAGGGTGGGAGAGGCACTGTCAAAAATTTTAATGAAAATAAGAAAAATTTTTTGGATTTTAAACAAGATAGAAACCTGGGGAAAGTATGGTTTTGTCAGTTAAAAACAAGTAGGGTAGTTTGTAATGGGGAGAGGGGGGTATTAAAAGTAATGGCAGAATATTTTGAGGAATTTTAAAAGTTGAGGAAGAAAGGGAGGGGTAATTTCAGCACGGCCGGGGAGGTATACCATCTTTTAGGAGTGAAGAAGAGCAGAATGTAAGGTGGTGGAGGTAAGTGAGGCATTACGTAGAATGAAAGGGGGTAAAGCAGCTGGAACTGTGGGATCAGACAGAAATTTTAAAAAAGCAAGGGGGGGATTATGTTGGGGGGTTTTGTACTTTTTTTATAAATGATGAAAGGGGGGAAGGGTACCTGGGGTTTGGGCAGAGAGCATGTATATCCCTTTATAAAAGGGGAAAGGGGACAAGAGAGATTGAAAAATTATAGGGGAAAAGTTTACTGAGTAACCGGGAAAAGTAAAAGGTGGGGTTATAATTGAAAAAATTTAAGGTAAACAGAATGTGGGTTTGCGGATGAGCGGGGAGGCTTAAAGGTGGGTAGGGGAGTGTAGATCAATTTTACTTTAAAGCATATATTGAACGTATTTAGATAAAGGTGGGGAAGTTTTTTTGCTTTTAGGGTTTTTAGAAAAGGCAATGATAGAGTGGTAGAGGAGCAAGTGGCAAAATGTTGCAAAAATTTTTGCAATAGGGGTAAGTTACTAAATGCTTAAAGAGCTTTTTGAGGATATGAGGCTCAGGTTAGGGTGTGTAGAAGAAGGGAAAAACTTTCCCGGGAAAAGTAGGTCTTAGACAGGGGTTGTAATGTCACCATGGTTTTTTAATATTTTATGATGGGGGTTTAAAAGAATAATGCAGGGTTTGGGAGAGGGGTGGGATTAAATTTTGGAATCAAATTCAAAAAGGGAATTTACACAGTTACTTTTTTTCGATGATACTGTGCTTATGGAGATTCTAAAGAAAAATTGCAAAGGGTTTGGGATGATTTGAGAAGTGGTGAAGGGAGAAAGTTGAAAGTGAACATAAAAAGAGTAAGGTGAAGGGTATCAAATGATTTAGATAAAGAAAAATTTGGGTACAAATTGGGGGGGAGGAGTATGGAAGAAATGAATTTTTCAGATACTTGGGAGTTACATGTCGGCGGGGTGGGTTTATGAAGGTGAGGTTTAAACATAGAATTGACGAGAGAAAAAAAAAGGGGAGTGTGCGTTTAGGGACAGTGGATCAAAAAACGTTTTCTATGGGGCAAAGAAGGGGTGTATGAAATATAGTAGTACCAACCTCTTTTATGGATTGGGTTGGGTGGTAAAAAGCAGCTGAGGAGACTTGGAGGCAGTGGAGATGTCCTGTCTAAGGGCAATGTGTGGTGTAAATATTATGCAGAAAATTCGGAGTGTGGAAATTAGAAGGTGTGGAGTTAATAAAAGCATTAGTCAGAGGGCAGAAGAGGGGTTGTTGAGGTGGTTTGGTCATTTAGAGAGAATGGATCAAAGTAGAATGACATGGAAAGCATATAAATCTATAGGGGAAGGAAGGAGGGGTAGGGGTCGTCCTCGAAAGGGTTGGAAAGAGGGGGTAAAGGAGGTTTTGTGGGCGAGGGGCTTGGACTTCCAGCAAGCGTGCATGAGCGTGTTAGATAGGAGTGAATGGAGACGAATGATACTTGGGACCTGACGATCTGTTGGAGTGTGAGCAGGGTAATATTTAGTGAAGGGATTCAGGGAAACCGGTTATTTTCATATAGTCGGACTTGAGTCCTGGAAATGGGAAGTACAATGCCTGCACTTTAAAGGAGGGGTTTGGGATATTGGCAGTTTGGAGGGATATGTTGTGTATCTTTATACGTATATGCATCTAAACTGTTGTATTCTGAGCACCTCTGCAAAAGCAGTGATAATGTGTGAGTGTGGTGAAAGTGTTGAATGATGATGAAGTATTTTCTTTTTGGGGATTTTCTTTCTTTTTTGGGTCACCCTGCCTCGGTGGGAGACGGCCGACTTGTTGGAAAAAAAAAAAAAAAAAAAAAAAATTCTTAACATGAACAATGAGGGCATTAAGCAGAGGTCAAAGTAGTGATGGGTTACAAACTACTGTAGGAAGCCCTTTATAGAAGCTATTTCATCCAAGTGCATTTCATAATTATTTCTTATTATTTCTTATTATCTACATAGAGTGTATTTACACAATGTGAATCAATTATGAAATTATGGGAAGTATGAACATTTATACCTTTTTTTTGACACATCAGCTCTTTTTCCATCACGGTAAGGTCATCCAGCAGAGGATACATATTTAACCCTTTCAGTGTTGTCACGCAGAACTGTCACTGTCATGTCCAGGACAAAATTTATGGCTCACAGCTCACGAGCTGAGCTTGTGACATAAAATTGCATGAGGGACCCTGATCTCAACGAAGCAGTTCTATGTGACAGCCACTGAAAGGATTAAAGCCTCATATCTGTGCATCTCGGCATTTAGTACTGTAACATGTGATTAATTTCATCAACTTAATGACTGACCAGAAAGTTATATCTAATAATCATTCTGAGCCTAACTTGGAACTTGCCAACTGTCATGAGAGTCATTCAGCAAGAAAGAGATCACTTCCAGCACCAAACATGTCCTTGTCATGTGAACAAGGGCTCTTCAGCCCCATCATTCTCACAAATGGATGTGCACAGCTCTCTCAAAATGGTCAACACAAAATTTGATGATGATGTCTTAATTTTACTATCACTGAATACACTTTTAATTAGATACAAATTTAAAATTAAATCAATTTTAATTTCTTTCACCCTTATTTTACATGGAAAAAAAAAAAAGACAAAATTACCAGTCTGCACTTTTAACATACGAATTTAATATAAGAAAATAAAAACATGGAGATAAATCTTTAGACAATGTTTTGGTCCATCCTAGACCAGATTGGACAGAAATGTCTAATAATACACCTCTAATCTGTGGGTTATATAAAAATTGTTCTGGCCATGTTATTTTTATTCTCCACGTGCTACTGTATTACAAAGTAACCTCAATACTAACCTCACATTTGTGGACTGTTGATTACATGCTTGCTCTGCATTACTGTACACTGCCTGTAAATAAAAAAAAATTATTTTGGTGCTCACCTAAGCATACTGTGTGCCACACCTCTATTTCTGATTTATATTAATCATAAAAATTCCTTGTTGACTGTAAGACAAAATGTTAGTCAACAACAAGTAGCACTGTGAGATCAACTTCATTATAACACCTAGATGTACAAGGTGGCCCAGTGCCTGGTCTTACACACATGACCAGACCCTAGGGAGCACAACCCCCCCCCCCATTAACAGTCCTTCTCTAAAAAAAAAAAAAATTGTTGTGGTCTCAATTTTCATTTTTTTGAAGTCACATGCAAAATGAAGAGAGAAAGCCAATGAGAGGTCCAGAGAAAAGAAATGTGCACACACAACTAAACAAACCCCAACCAATAATCTCTCTTTCTGAAATTTAAAAAAAAAGAGAGAGAGAAAGAGAGAAAGAAAGAGAGAAAGAGAGAAAGAGAGAGAGAAAGAGAGAGAGAGAAAGAGAGAGAAGAAAGAGAGAGAAAGAGAGAAAAGAGAGAGAGAGATAAAGAGAAAGAAAGAAGAGAGAAGAGAGAAGAGAGAGAGAAGAGAGAGTGAGAGAAGAGAGAGAGAGAAGAGAGAGAGAGAGAAGAGAAGAAGAAAGAGAGAAAGAAAGAGAAAGAAAGAAACGAGAGAAAGGAAGAGAGAAAGAAAGGAGAGAGAAAGAGGAGAAGAGAAGGGAAA